TCTCCGCGTTTCATAAAGGGGCGTGTCACTTTGCAACCTGCGGCGCGCCCACGTTTTATTGAATAGACAATAAGAGATAAAAAGATTCTGTGACTGGGAAAAGGCTGAAAAATCAAAGAAGTTGAGAACCTGAAATTGAAGTTTACATTTTTAACTGTATGCTCCATTGGGAAGACTTCATGATAACTTTCAAAAATCAAATCACAAGGGGTATACAAAAATGATAATTCCATGAACAGAACTAATGAGGATTATTCATTGAGCTCCACAAGAATATTCTTCCTTTTAAACACTCCATCTTCTTCAAAAACCTCATCAATCGATTTTCCTTTCATCCAATCAGTCCACTCAATCTTTATCCAACTAGGTATGTAGTTATTTGAATGTTCCTCCATTTTCACTTCCAACATCATGGATTTTTTTGATTCCAGACTTCCAGATTTCGGAAGAATTTTAATATCCGGATGATTTGAAGCAATTTTATGCCGCGTTCAAAGTANCCTCCAGGAACTGGAAATCGCTTCCAAAGCTGTCAATTTTTCCAGGTTTTCCATGGACTTAAAACTTCGATTTCCCTCGTTGTAGCTGTGTTTTTTTTCTTCGACATCAATTCGAGGTCCAAAAAAAGAAAGTTTCTTGTTAATTTACAGCGGATCTCGAAAAATCAACACAGCTACAACGCGGAAAATCGAAGTTTCGTGCTCCTGGAAAACCTGGAAAAATTGGCAGCTTTGGACGCAATTTCCAGTTCCTGGAGTCTACTTTGAACGCGGCATTAAAAAGAATTGAATTAATGGAAGCATTGGTTATTCTCATAAAACAACTTCTGTTGAACGTAACGTTGAAATAGATTTTGGACTTTGGTTCTATTTTGATTTCATCTAAAATAAAAGGCTGACTCCTCATATTCGCCCGTTCAGGGTCTTTTGGGGGAACCACTGGATCCAGTGGAGTTGGACCATACAAAGTGAGTATTTCCATCATCGAAGGTCCGTTACATGGTTCAGTGTTCCAATGAATGTGACCAGATGGCTTGAAGAATACACATTCGTCCACATCATTTGTTAATTTTCCAGCTACTAGGTTGAAGAAGTCTTGAAGCTTCTTCTCACCATCCTCCACGTTCCATACTGGATTTTTTGGGTCTCGGTCCGTATCTGATATCATAGGAATTCTTGCTCTGGCTGCTTCAGCCGCATTTGTTGGAATATCCGAACGAAGAAGTAATCGGATCTGAAATTGAGATAGAAGCCCACGGAGACCGTCAACTTTAAGCTCAATTATCTCAAAGTTGAAAAGCAGGCGCTTGCCAGCTTAGCTACACTGTCGGCAGCCGTCCTCTTAACTGTGAGCTCATAAATCTCAATTCCTGTAGAAGATGCCAAAATTTTGTCAACTGATAAAAAGTTTATCATAACATCAAAAGTGTTTTGTCAGTTGACAACTTTTTAATATCTTTTCCTGGAATCGAGATAATTGAGCTCAAAGTTCTCTTCTTTAAACACTCACCGCTTTCAAATACCTGTTCATTTTAGTACCAACTATAATTGAATGAGATCACTGAACACAGCTTGCCAGTAAAATCTACAGCTTCGACACTTCCAGACAATATCCCTCAAACCACCAGTGAACACTTTCATTTCATAGTGTTGCATGTTTTCTGAAAACGTTTCATATTGTTTCAAATTTTAAACTTGTCCTCCTCACCATCGATTGCTGCAACCACACCGGAATACATCACTTTCCAGGAGCCTCCTTCCTTTGGAATTTCAGCCATAAAAACCCCTTTCCTCACTATTCCATCCTGTTCAAATTCTTCATTTTCCGAGCTTTTAGTCATAAAGTGACGGTAGACTTCACTGAAGTTTGAGAGATTTGGAAAAAATGTATCGTCATTTGCCTTGAACAAATAAATTGTTCCATTCATTCGAATGGCATTGACTTTAAGAAGTTTGTACAGAGATCAAAAGACTGGAGACGATATCGACAAAAGAACAAACTCATCTCGCGAAGACTACCCGCCATATTCTCTTTGCAAAGTAAGATTTTTGTATTTTTTTAAATACTGTACACATTTTATTTTTCGATTGAGGAGTTGAGAATAGAATACATCGTCGACAAGATGGAAGAACGAAAAATTAAAGAGAAAAATGAAGAAAACGATCTAATATGGTGGCCTGAATGGACTGTGGAAAAAGGAAAGCAACTAGTGCGCCACTTCTTCAGTCGAATTGAGGAATATTCCAGAAGATCAGCAGTCTTCCTTTTGGCTGAACAACTGCGTACTGGATAATTCAAAGATAATTTAGAAGTTCAGAATAATTTATTTAAATACAATTCTAATCAAAAGCCATTAAACACTCCCATCAAAATAGGATCTTTTTCAACAATCACTGAAAACAAAAATGGGCGATTCAGATATAAATGAATAGGAATCGTTTCACAAGGTCTCTTTATAAAACCAGGGTCTCTCATGACTTCTTCCTCCGTCTTGTCCGGAATTTCGAATTGGAAAATGTTTGGAACGGGATACTGTAGATTGGATTTAATTTTGAAAATTGGAATTTCAAAATTGACGAATTCGGAAGACAGTTTGTAGAGGAGGTCTTGGAATTTAGACGTCGTCAGGTTCTGAAATTTTTTTAGAAAATTAGAATGTTACGGAAAATTAAGGAATTGTACCTCAATTAATTCCGATATATTCCCATTGCTCCTTGGAATAAACGCAACGAATTTCTCTGGCTCTTCAGATAATGGAAGTTCCAAAACCTGAAATTCAAAAATTGGCCTAGAAATATTTCTAGGCCATCAACAAACCTCTATATCCTCATTTATTGTATATCTGGCCAGAAGATCATCACAAGACAATAATAAATTATCCTTTATGTTCATTTTCAGAAATTTCAAATTTTTCAAACCATTGCTCATTTCTCTGACACGAAATTCGTTAAGCTGGTATTGCCAATCTAATCTGTAAGAATCTGTCTGAAAATAGTGTCCATATGTGTGTCTGTTTGTCCTGAAAACTTACTTTTTGAGTAGAGAATTTTAGAGCCGTTTCTTGGATATTTGAAATTCCAGGAATATATTTTTCAGTTAAATTTTGGCTAGCCAGAGATAATAAAATGGACACTGGAGAGAAGACGAAAGAAGAATTTCGGGTTCCAAAGGCTTTTAGAATATTTAGAGATAATTGGGTAAGAATATTAGGGTCCATGAAACCCTTTTTTATTTTTTTTTTGGGATTTTTCAAGGGTTTTATACCTAGAAACGCCTATTTTGATCTTTTAAAAATTCTTACTACGTCATTTTTTCTAGCTCTTTTTTCTAGCTCTATTTTTTCAGTAAAAGAACATACTCCATTCACAAAATGATCTTTCTTATTTGCTTTCCACTAATTTTTTGTTTGTTTCCTTCGTCATCATGCTCGGAACGAAACTTTCAAAAATAAAGTGTAGTAAACAAATAGATGTTCAATTATGAAACTAATATTAGGTTGGAAGGAAAGTAACTGTCCATTTTTTATTAGTAAATAAAACAAAAACAAGATTAATCCAAGATTGACAGTATGTACCGTCGTGGTCCACAACATGTTGTCAACATTTTGGTAACTTACGGATACCATACCTCCAAACGCCAGCTGGCTGCGAATCAAACTATTACTTTGGTGCACTTTTTTCTCATCGATTTTGTCAAAGTCCTCACGCTCCAGATAGCGTTGTATATCTCCGAATAACCAATAATCTACCTATAAAACCGTCTAGCCAATGCGGCTCAAATACGACGCGACTTTCCGTACAACATGAGGCTTTGCATTTTTTAACGAAAGTCAAGTCAGACTTGCGCAGCTTCAGTGGGACGGTTCTTCCTCACCTACTTATAGTCCTGACTTGGCTCTATCAGATTATTGAGTATTCGAAGATTTACAACGCCATCTGGAGAGTGATGAATTTTGCACCATTTATGAGAAAAAACTGGAAAAAGGGGATATTTTGATTTGCGGCTAGCTAGCTTTTGGAGGTATGGTACCCACAAGTTACCTGAATGTTGGCAAGATGTTGTGGACCACGACGGTGCATACTGCTAATCTTGGCTTAATCTGATTTTTGTATTATTCACAAATAAATCAAAGAACAGTTACTTTCCTTCCAACCTAATAGTAATAACTTTATTTTGAAGGATTGCGAAATTTGAGGTTAAGTAACAAGAAACTTACTAGCCAAAGTTATCTTGCTTACTGTACAATGTAATCAAAAATTATGAACGGACAATGTGGTTTTGATCTTATGATAATCATTTTATCAGTTGATCAATTTTGGATATCATTCATGAAAAAGAGATAAATTACTGATTTGATTAATTTCCAGGGTGCCAAGTTTCGAGGATCCAAACATTGGCATTTGGAGGATATGAAAAGTTACGAAATTCTAAAAATTGTGTTTCAAATTCGAAAATCTGAATTGCTCAGAAATTTTGAGGATTCTCAAATTCTAAATTTTTTTTGAATCTTGATTCTTTCTGACACACTTTTTTCCGAGCGACTCCCTATCTTACTGTAGATTTTCAGATTTTCTCTCGATTCTCAGAATTTCTATTTTTTTTTCATGATGATAACTGTAGGGGCCCCGTACGACTAGGGAGAAAATATTCGAGTATTTTACTCTACAGTAATCCTTTTCATTTAAAAAAAAAATTTATTAGAAAAACAGGAATATTTATTTAGAGTTTCAATATGGATAAGAAAGGGACAATCAAAGGAGAAAAGAAGTTTTGGAACTATGAAATAGAGTATACAGATGTTAATCTACAAAATTGTATTAGAGATTATAAAGTACCTTTTCGGATACAACCAAAGAATTCAAAATAATACGAATAGGCAACCTTCTCGATAAAAATTAGTTAGTAATAGTCATAGTCATCGTCCGTCGTTTCCTCCACAATAGTATCCGTTGGATCGGCACCGCAATTTTTGAATTTTCATAAAACATGAACATCTTTATTGGTCATTTATTTATCTTTTCATTTTGTCAATTCTATAAAAAATTTTACATCACATCAATAACTTGCAGGGTTGCAATTTGACGGGTTGGCCGGCAATTAATTAATATTTGAACGCGCGCCATTTTTATTATCTCTCCGAGTACTACGATCCTTCAACGAACGAATCGGTTGAGGAGTATTGGAAAAGAAAAAGATTCGAATACCCCGGACTGTACTCAGCAGCACTTTTCGTTTTTTCGATTGTTCCCAGTGAAACCATGTGTGAGACTACGTTCAGCACTGCGTCGTTTTTGTTAGATAAAACAAGAACAAGATTAATGTACAAGCGTGTGGAGATGGTCGTTCGGGGTTCGCAAATAGCCACGAAATTTCCACACTGGCTCGACTGATTCTCTCACTAATTGTAGTGATTTTTCTAGTAAAACATTCAGATCTTCTTCGAGACGTATTCAAAGAGTGTGATCCGTTCGATTTGTGAGTTTTGAATTGGAAACTTGATCCTATTGTCGGATTAAAAAAAGTGACACCTGAAAATCTCGGAGACGGCGCTCGTGTCGATTTACGAGGGGGCGGAGCGAAAACGGATACTGTAGATAACAAATTTATTTATGTGAATTTAGTGGGATTTTCTGAACAAAATTTTGATTTCTTGGTATAAAAATGATCGTTAGCATCTCTAGAATAGATTTTTTAGCAAAAAACTAAACCTAAACGCAAAAGTAGCTCGAACAAGCCGAAATTCTGAAATATTACTTTTTTTGCCGCACTTTCTCGTAAGCCAAAAAAAGCAAAAGTTTTCAAATTCTCAGGTGTCACTTTTTTTTTAATTCGACAATATAAAACGCTTCTATTTTCTAGATATATAACTATTGCAATGCTCCAAAAGAACTCGAAAGTCTATCATGACGAATACTGGTACAAATAACTGGAAGATTAAGGGCAACGACAAGAAAATTGTATTGTTATGTGGAAATTTGCGATATCGCTTCATAAAAACTACTATACCAACTGCTTACTATGAATTCGAGAAAAACCTTCTATATTATGACTTTTCGTCGGAACGGGAAAAGAGCATGTTCATCCAGTACCCAAATGGAGGATTCACAGAGCTGTTCGTTTATCTGTTGGACACATTTCGGATCAAAACTGTGGAAGAGATAGCAAACATCACCCAAGATTTATCATCTGGAAGTTTTGATGGATATCTGGAACTAGTGAAAATAGTGATTGATAGGAATATGGACGTGGAAGTATTTAATTTGGGTCTTATAAGAGATGAACGCGAAGCTGTGAACTTCATGGAATTGTCGAATCAAATGAATGTCACTAAGGCATTCCGCTGCGATCAACTGTTTCCTGCAGGCTTTCAGCACCACTTCACACAATTCCCGGAGAGGATCGATATATGGCTTTCTAATTGGTTTCAACTTGATCAATTATACACTTGCTCGTGTACTCACATTAAACTAATTGAGTCCAAATTTGGAAATGAGGATTTAGACCTACTTCTTCAAAAATGGAAGAAAAATGAAGCACTTCCAAGCAAGCTGCACAACTGTTGGGATCGCCTAAGTTGTTGTACATCTGCTGCGAATTTTTACCGAGTTTGTCTCTTCTGATTCTTGTGTCTTTCCTCTTGTTGCATGCAGGGTCCACTCGCTTGTATATGATGTTCTCTATGTAGCTCGGGTATACTCAGTTTCCACTTTTCTCCCACCCTGTCTCTCCATCTCATACAAACCTTCATCCCCTCTTTAGTCTTCTTAGTTAGATGAGGCCCCGCCCCATTAATCAATCATTAGGTCAATTCGCCGCGTTCATTATGTATGTTATGGTTCATTAGAGACATTCTTTTCGTATCTCTGTTTTCCCGGAAAAAAAAGGTGGGCAATGAGACTCTGAGTTTGCTATGAGTTCTTTAATAGCTCGCTATACAGTTTATTAATTAGTTATGTAAACATCTAATTGTAGATTTTCAAGCTAAGGAATCCGATTGACTTTGATATTCTTATATTTATTTTTCCTTCTTAAACTTTTTGAGAAGGTTTCACAATTTTTATCAATTCGAACATTTCCAGAAATGCCAGTTCCACTCCTCAACCTCCCCACCGATCTTGTTGAAGAAATATTCAATCTCTGCAATCCTCTCCAATTGTAAGTTCCAATTTCTAGTCATTTCATGAGAAAACTGCCTTTCAGATTCGTCCTATCCAGTTGTTCGAAGAGAACTCGAAAACTTGTCAAATCGAAAGTTGCAAACAAATGGAAAATCTCGAGTCTCACCTCGACATCGATATATCTGAAGGGTAATCGTCGGGAAGAGTATCGATTCAAAATAGATGAATATCCAAAAAATTGCTACTGTTTGACTGTGTCGATCATGGGAAGTATTCTACACTTAACATATCCCAATGAAGCCGTCGCTCAATTGTTGGAGGATTTGGTGGATGTCTTCGGATGCAGAAGAGCCCCTTTCATAAAAGCCAGCGCCTTTAATGATTTCGAAAAATTCTTGGATTTATGCCGTGTTGTAATCAAGAAGAACTTGGAAGTGAGACGGTTGGAACTGGATTGCAAGAATAAAGACATGAGTGGTTTTATAGGATTATGGAAACAGATGAAGATCTCAAAGATTCACATTTCTCATTCCTTCTGGGTCACTATAGATCAACTCTTGGAATGCACATCTGTTAAAATCGAATTGGAAGATTCCGAGCTGACCAACCAGGATGTCGATTTGTTTCTTCGGAAATGGAAGACCACAGGCACGTTTTCAAAATTGCAGATGCTTGAAATTAGCAGCGAGGAGATCGATAAAAAGTCGAAAATTTTGGATATGGTTCCACCGATAAGATTGTTTTGTTTTTGGCTCGAGAATTGTTTTTCGCAAATTTCAAAAAATATGAAATTCAATTTTTTCAGCGTCAATCCGGCGAGCACTGTTATGGAGGAATAAGCTGGTAACGATGAGAAATCTGAATAAGTGTGAAACGTTCCCTTTATCACCTTTTTTCTATCTTAACAGAAGGCCCGTCTCGTTTGCTCTGTTGGGCTTATTCTCCTTTTTTCAAATCTTTGACCACATACTACCTCCCCATCTCATACAGGTTTCTCCTGTCATAGCTTGGGATATATTTCAATTGTATATCAATTTGAAAAATAGATATTTTTGAATTTCTGATTTTTCTATGAATTTCGATCTTCAGAGAATTTCTTGAACATAGAGGATTTTTTGATATGTGATGTTTTTTTGTTGTCAAATATTTTGCAATTTTTACAAAACTTGGTTGATTTCTCTTATTTGTGACGACTGTTTGTTTACTATTAGTAAATAAAAGTTCCTATGTTCTTTTTTAAACTTTTGAACATGATAACGAGTCAAACAAACAAAGAACAACTGAAAAGAAAATAAGAAAAAAAAACATTGGATGGAGTATCTTCATTTACCGGAAAAAACTGAGCAATAAAAGTTTTCATCGTCAATCAATCTCAGAGAAACAATTTATTTTGAAAAATGAGAAAAATTAATAAAGAGATCATAAATTAGGAATACTTATTTGGATAGCTTCTTTGAATGTGCCAACAGATGCAATATCCTGTTTGAAATTCCATTTTTGACTTCCCGGAATTCTGGAGATCACAAAACAGTCACCATCTCTTTTCACATGACTTTTGACCAATTTCAAAAAATTATAAAGGTTCTTTTTTCCATCTGAAACTGTCCAAAGGGGTCGTTGATTATTGGGAGCAGCTAGAGAAGGCAGTTCATCACGAGATAGTTCTTTGATCTGGAAATATAAATGTTACAGTAATCCAAAAAGATTTAGAATATGACTTACCTCATAAATGGAATTCTTTGGATAAGTGATCATAATGTCATTAATCTTCTTTTTGAGTGCAAACTCTCCAGTTCTTGATGCAATTATAATAGAGGGAGATGCTCCGAAAAACGATTTCCAGAATAATTTACAACTTTTTTCCCACCAAAATGCATCATTTTCGCATCCTCCAAATGCCACTTCCAACTCATAATTTCTCGATTTTCCCATTTTTGTTTTTTGAATTGCGTCCACTTTTCCAGAATACAGAATACTGTACTCTTTCTTTCCTCCATTCAACATTTCAGCTTTCCAAACTCCTTTTTGAATTGAATCGTTTCGAATTGGCTCATTTTCCGATTTCTTTGTCATCAAATGATTGAAAATCAGTTGATTTTTCGATTCCATCGCATTCTCTTTATCCATTTTCAGTACAAATATGACTCCGCCCACTTTGCATACGTGGATTAAATGAGTTTCCAAAGAAGTCACTGATTTGAGAAGATCCTTTGATGTAACGAAATCTGGTTTCTGATTTCCAAATCCATTCTGTCCGATATAATCCAAAAATGATTCCATTTGAGATTCTGAGAATTCTGG